TCCATCAACATAATGATGTTCTCATTCTTGGATATAAATGGCAACTTAAAGCCTCAAACTATTAAGTAATTGTAAACCATAAAAAAGACCCATTGTTTCTGGCAGATTTTAAATAAAGTTACAGGGCTGTATTGTCCTTTAGCAGATACCAACATTGGCAGCATCTCTTTCTCTCTCTCAGCTCAAATTTATATCTGCCTTTTGCATTGCCTCACTTGTACTTACAGTTTCCAGTAGTTAATATAACTAAATTTAAAAAGATCCAGAAGTATAGGAGAGCAATCTTAATTCATAATAAATTCACAATACATCCTGTAATAGTATGGGTGATCCTGACCAATCTTCACTGATACCACTGTTTCATTTATCTTCCCATTAAGTTTGAAAATGCTCTGTGGGATTTATTTCTAGAGATTCTAAAAAATCTTTTGGTTTCTAGAGGTTAGTGCCATCCAGCATTATTCTGGGTTTCAAGTGCAAGGATAAATTTTGTGACATTTTTACAGAAATTAGTATAGACCAAATCTAAGATTGGACTTTGGTCTATAAAAAGGCAAAACAAAACAACAACAAAAAAGTGCTATAACAGATTGGACCAGGGAGAAGGAGGCTGTTTTATAAAGGTCAATTTTTAAACCCCTCCTACAGAACATGATCTATGCAAAATATATCCACAATATATTCCAAAGCATAATGTCACCGGATAAACCTAAGGAGTAGAACATATGGGGGAATATGAAAAAGAAGGTATTAAAGTCTGAAAACAAGCAGGTTGGTAAGCTCATTAGCTGGGGTGGAATTTTAAAATCTTCACGTGAACGAATATATAAATCAAAATATACACATGCATTCACAGTCATGCGCACTATACAGTCACACATGGCACACTCTTAAACTGTCACTTTAATCTTCCACACAGGAACGGTGAAATGCTGTTCTCTTTCTAAATGTAAAGGCGCCCTCTGGTGGTCAACATGGGGTATCGCCATGCTCTAGTTAACACCACGAATAGGTAAAATAGAGCAAAAGTTGGCAGTTTATATAGAACCTTGAATCAAAGTAAGTTTATTCGAAATACAGTACATTTTAATTAGTTTTACTATTTGCCTTAATTTTATATTCTTATATGTCATCAATTGCTAAAATAGTATAAATAAAGGAAAAAGTTGATGTAAAATAATAACTCACTTGTGACAAAATTAGAGTAGCAATTAAAATTGACTGGATGACCAATTCTATAGAACTAAAATTCTAAATAGCTGAGTATTTTCTAAAATTAAATTTCTTTAAAAAAATTATGCATACGGAACTGGGATACAGGCCAGAGGTGTAGGAGCAATGAGTAGATTCACCAGAGACAGAGTGGGGAGCAAAAGAGGCAGATCAACAAATTACCCTGCTGAGGGGAGCAGCAGCCTAGACAGAAGAGGTCTGTGGAGCCATGTGGGTCAGCTCCTTGTCAGGAAAGATCAAACTCACACTGAAGCAGCTGAGGCCAGTTTCACAGTGCTGTGCTCCAGCTCTCTGTGCCACCAGGGAGGGCCTAAAATTAAATTACTTTTAATAGAAGAAAATGAGAGCTTTTGTCTCACTCTTGTTTTCTGAGAATGTTTGATTCAGAGAAACCCCAAGCTTTCCAATAATTTCTTGGTAAAGCTCTCCAGTGCCTTCACAAAGCAGAACTGTATCTCCACCACTAAAATCCTTCTACTAATAATCTGGAAACTATTGAGATAGGCTTTAGAGGTTATTAAGTTAATTTGAAAAAAGAGAAAAAAAATTTTTACAAAAAAATTGAAGAAACAACAAAAATTTTTGAAAAAAAAAATGCCTCTTTTTGTATTTTAACCACTTTCTAATGAGAAGAAATTTAGGGGAAGAAAAAGAAGAAATGCCAGCCCATAAGGTGAAGGCAACAGGAAATCTTTCTCCAGAAATATCCCCTGGATATTTCTTAGGGTAAAAGAGAGATGTGATTAAAATTGGTGTTAAGTTGGGCAGCTCTTACTAACGGCAGTGTGTCTTATATTAAGAAGTAAAAAGGGTCACCAAGCAATAAATAAATTATATTGAATTCAAATTATTAAAAATTAATTTTGTTGACACCAAGACTACTACACACTGAATAAAAATTTAGAAACTCTTTCAGAAATAGACACTGAGAAAAATTTATTTAAAATTAGAAATAATTTGAGTCACTGTTTTCTTTCTGCATATGAAAATTCTAACATATAGAATATGTACAGTTTAAATAATAAGTTTCTTTCAATGCTGCTTTGGTAACTATATTTGAAATTTGTATCCAATATATTAGAACTTAAAATAAAATTTGTATCCAATCTATTAGAATTCAATGAATAGAATTCAAAAGATTATACACTATCAATATCAATAAGATATATGAACAGAATTATGCAAAAGCATATTAAAGACCATGGAATGCCTCCACATGTATTTTGATCATTCTGTCACTGAATGCCAACATACTCAAAATCCTTCTACATTTTATTTTACATTTTAAATTCTGCAGCAAAACTTCAATCAAAACAACTCCAATAATATCTCTGGGCTAATGGCACTTTAATCATTATTTATATTCACAATTCTTTTCTCTGAAGAGCAATGAGAAAGTGGGCAGGCGCTTGGCATACCTCATCGCATCTATCAGCAGCGATGTCTAAGACCTAACACAAAGGCATTGCTGTTATCCTAAATAAGTCTCCTTGTGTTACTGATCTGGAGAGGGCCAGCATGGACTGGACTAACTGGACTAACTGTTCCCAAATCCACGGAAGAAAGTCAACAGCATGGAGATCTCAGACTAGAAGATTGGCAGTCTTTCAATGGCATGGGTTCTCAGATGACTGAGCAGGTTACTATCCACATGTGTGCACGCACACACACACACACATTTACATACACAGTCATACCACTTACTGCATTGCTGCCAATAGCACTTACTCAGTACCTAAAGAGTGACACTATTTGGTTGACACACTTAGCGCTTGAAAGTTATGTGGGGGCAGAAGTTACTGGTGTTATGTTGCCCCCTCATGTCACCCCTCACTTACATATACAGTATTGGACAGTAATTACTTAGCATGTGACAAGAGTTTGATAAACATTTGAAATGAAAGTAGTGAACAGAAACCAAGAGTGGGGAACCTCCCTGGTGATGCAACGTTTTAAAGTGCAGCACTATAAAGCTAAAGCCACTGCAACATGAGTTCCATCCCCAGCCAGGGAGCTGACCCACATGGCGCGGCAGATCTCCCCTGTCTCACCTGCTGCTCCCCTCACCTCCCCCCTCTGTCTCTGGTGAATCCACTCACCGTCCCTGCACCTCTGGCCTGTTCCCCAGTTTTGCATGCACAAATAAATAAATCTTAAAAAAACAAAAACTAAAACTAAAAAATCAAAAAGTTTAAATTGAAGTAACAAAATACGAAAATGGTAAAGTTTGAAAATAATATGATCCACTTTTACATTGGAGACTTGGGGACAACAGATGTTGTCCTATACAGTTTTAGACACATAAATTGATACAAGTTCTTACAGTCAAACTGGACATTGCTGCAATGCAATGTAGAAAGTAGTAAAGTTTGCAGTGGTCTGCTAGAGTCAGATTACACTGCCTCACAAGAACCAACTGTTAAATTTTCAGCAGCTGTTAAGTACATTTATTAAAGTAATCAAGTCATAAAAACTGAAAGTTCAATAAATTATATAAAAATAAAGGAAAAGGTTGCTTAAAAGTCTTCACTTCCTAATCGTTTTACCAGATGTTGCTATTATTTATGATGAGGCTTTATTTATGTCGTTGATCTGCAGGGTGGAAATGCTGTGTAATGATGACTTACTATGCATCTCTTCCCTAATTCTGTTTTCAGTGTTGTTACATTAATAGCTTGAAATCAGTCTTACTGGGAATATTTACACTATGGAGATTGGCAAGTGCAATAAATTAGGACCTTTTCCTTTGCCCCAGGCAGATAATTTGCTAAACATTTACCAACACCCAAATGATTACTTGTGAAAATAGAATGTGGCAATTTGCAGGAGAAGAGAAGAGGACAGAATTTCCTATCATGGGGATATTAGGAGAACTAATTTTTCATTATATCGTATCAAAAGGTAAACATGTTGGTTCTTAGGCTTCACACCAACTGACTACTAGCGCTCAAGTCAACTTCATTCTTGAAACTTTCACATCACCTCTGTGTTCTTTCTATAGCTTATGATTTAGTTTATAATTCAGCAGAATCTCTGAGACACCCCAGTCTATAACATAGGGTAAAAAGGGAAAGTTCAAGTAATTGGAATTTTTATAGGTCTTTTTTTTTAATTCAATATATTTATAGTATTTAATTTTCAGAACTTTGACAAAACAAATTAATTAGTATTTCTGAAAGCACTTTCAAAGCCATGAAATATCAGGCATGATTATAATATTTCTAAGAGCCATACAGCAAAATTGGACCAATGTGTGCATATTTGAAAAATATTAATACCGTATCAGTTCTGAAAACATTTTTTTTGTGAGATAATTATTATTATTATTATTTAAGATTTATTTATTTATGCATTCAGAACTGAGGTACAGGCCAGAGGTTCAGGGGCAGTGAAAGGATTCACCAGAGACATAGTGGGGAACAGAACAGGTCGACTGACGAAGTACACTGCTGAGGGGAGCAGCGGGAGGGTCAGGAGAGGTCTGCTGTGCCATGTGGGTCACCCCTAGGGCAGGGATCGAACTCATACTGAAGTGCTTTAGCTTCTAAGTGCTGTACTTTAACCTGATGCACCACCAAGGAGGGCCCAAGAAAATTATTTTAATCGAAACCACTCTAAGATTATTATTTTAATTAAAATGCTCACAAAATCCCAAAGCCCAAATTTTCTCCCTCTGTTTAACAGACCTGGATGTCATCAAGCACCAACTGTTTTATCTGCAAGTAGTAATAAGAGAATGTAAAGTGACATGGTTATATCCCAAGTACCTAGAACTAGAGAAGAATTTGCAGTAGATGATTCCAGTGAATTATTCTCCATGTGCTGGTTGTCTTCCTCTGGATTGGGCTGATCTGTGGCCAAAAGGTATGGCATTTGAACTTTGGAGCCATCTTCTGGTGATAAATTCTTGGTCTCTATGAATATAAATAAAAGTACAATGCAAGTTTTTATAATATACATAACTGTTCTCAGTATTTTTAAAAATGAAATGAGAATTCTAATATTTATTTGAAAAGAACTATTTTTTTTAAAGATGTATTTATTTATGCATACAGAACTGGGGTACAGACCAGAGGTTCAGGGGCGGTGAGAGGATTCACCAGAGACAGAAGGGGGAGCAGAACAGGACCGCTGACAAAGTACTCTGCTGAGGAGAGCAGGGGGAGGTCAGGAAAGGTCTGCTGTGTCATGTGGGTCACCCCCCGGGGTGGGGATCGAACTCATGCTGTAGTGCCTTTAGCTTCTTAGTACTGTGCTTTAACCGGCTGACCACCAGAGAAGGCCCGAAAATAATTATTTTTTTTAAGTTGATTTTTGGGAGTTACACATTTACCTCTCCTTATGTGCACTTTGTGATTCTAAATAGAATGTAATTTGTATTACAATGCAAATTTGCACACAATATAAACAGCTGTTATTGTTATCTTGTCCCAAGTAGAGATTTGCCTGAATATACTTCAGTACTTTGACATTTTGAAAGACTTGGAACATGTTTTTTGTTATGACACAGTATTTTTATTTTCACTATGAACACAGTGGGTAATTCTCTTGTAATGTGCTAAATTTCTTCTAAAAAGACTATGTAGTATTATGTTAATCACAAGATAACTAAGATGATTTCTTATTTGACCATCACCTTTTTAAAGCAAGCCACTTATTCAGTGATACAGTTACATTTAAGGCTGAATTAATGGAAATGCAAATGTGGTCGGAGTTTTTCTTTAGCTTGTGCTCGTGCCATTTTGTTCTTCGCTGTGAGTTCTACATGAGATGTACATATGCTTTAATGTCAGCCTAAATTCAAGTAATCTGAATTTTTGTAGGTCTTTTTTTTAATTCAATGAAATATTCTATATCTTTCTTTTCTCCTTCCCTCCATTGCTCCCAACCATTCTTCCTTCAACCACATGTATTGAGTGTTTTCTCAAGGGCCTTTGTGGATTACAGAGCAAAAGGAGAGTTTCTGCTCTTCTAAAGTTATCATCTGCCAGAGGAGCCTAGTGTCTTATTAATTTTGGATTTACCCATCAGAGGAAACAGGAGGAACATTTACTCTGTGTGTGAAGAATTTCCTCAAGAAAACTCGCGGCTTTGGACGTTGTCTTTGGCTGACATCTTAACAATGTATATGGCTACTTAATAAGTACGTCTGGGGTTTATAAACATAGTCGACTATTTTGTGCTTCTCATGTAAGGAATTAACTCAATTGTTTAACCCTAAGAATAATCCTGGATAACAAAATATTATCCCCCCACCAGAGGGGAGTAAACTGAGTCATAGACCACAAAAGTTTCTAGCCAAAGCCTCATGTCCGAGGACTTGAAGGAACCAGCTTGCAGTGGGTTTAGGATTCTGCACTAAGGCTCCTGTATTAGTTGCCCTTGCCACCCTAACAAGCTACCACAAGCAGCATAAACATAAATTTATTTTCTTAGAATTCTGGACATTGAAAGTCTAATATCCCTGGTGGCACAGAGGGTTGAGGCAAAACACTGCAAGCTGGCCACAGCAGCTTCAGTGCGATCCACAGCCCCAGAAGTGACCCACATGGCGTGGCAGACCTCTCCTGTCTCACCCATTGCTGCCCTCAGCAGTGTACTTCATCGATCTGCCTGTTCTGCTCCCCAGTCTGTCTCTGGTGAATCCTCTCACCCCCTTGCACCTCTGTTCTGTACCCCCGTTCTGTATGCATAAATAAATAACTCTTAAAAAAAAAAGAAAGTCTAATATCAACATGCTAGCAGTTTGGTAACTGGTGAAAGCTTCACTGTTAAGTGGCAGAAGGTGACCTTATTGTGTCCTCTAACAGTGTAATGAGAGACAGAGATTGTTCTTCCTCTCCTTGTAAGGCCACCATCCTATCAGGTGAATCAGATGAGTACCCACCTTCCAACATTATTCCACCTGAAGGAGCTCCCGAGACCCTAATTGGTTACAGCTCCAACCTATGAATTTCATGGGGATATAATTTAGTTCATCATAGCTCCTAACCACAAATATAATCACATTTAAATTTGTTCTGGTCATAAGGCCTGCCAGAAAATTTCTAGATTCCTCTAATAAGGTTATTTCTTCTGCAAATAACACTTACATCTCTGACTACTGTGACCAGACATTCAGAGGAAATGTCAAGGCCTACTTTGTTGGAATAAGTTGGTCAGGGAGAGACAGGGGCAAGTATAAGAATTCTGAGCCCCACGCAGGGACTGCATTTCCCCTCCAGCCCTCAATGGAAGCTTATAGACCCATATCTGTTCCCCTCTCTGCCCTTGTAAGAACTCACCTATCTGTGCAACATCTTCTGTTGAACTAAAGAGGGAGATCCCTGACTCTGAAAGGACCCTGCCTGGGACCAGGAAGAGAGAAAAGGGTATTGGATTGTTAACCTTTTTTTTTTTTTCTTTTCACAAAATCTTTCTCTCCTTTATAAAGTACTTGTCCTTGGCCGGCCAGTAAATGTGTATGGACTGAGAGAATGTGGATAAACTAGTTCCTAAAACTATTTGGAAACACATACTAAAAGACATAGTCATGATACAAAGCACAGCAAATAGTTAGGTGTATGTGATGGGTGTGTGATGGGTTACAACACAGCATTGCATGATCTTTATTATATATGCTCTTAGATTGTTCAAAGAATTGCAATTTGATAAATCTCAAATTTCTGGCAAGGCACTTGTATAAAGTGGAATTTAAAAATATCTGGCCCTCCCTGGTGGCGCAGTGGGTTAAAGCACAGCACTGAGAATCTAAAGCCGCTTCTGCATGAGTTCGATTCCTGCCTGCCCGGGACATGACCACATGGCGTGGCAGACCTCTCCTGACCCGCCCGCTGCTCCCCTCAGCAGTGTACTTCCTCGATCTGCCTGTTCTGCTCCCCACTCTGTCTCTGGTGAAGCCTCTCGCCGCCCCTGAGCCTCTGGCCTGTACCCCAGTTCTGTATGCAAAAATGAATAAATCTTTAAAAAAATATATCTTATCAAGAAATATTTCCAGGCATGTGGTTTATGTAAGGAAGTTGGAGCACATCTTCTAAACTTTTTCCTAAACAAGTGTAACTCACTGAACACAACAGTAAAATGGACAGGTACCACTTATTTAAAGGATGGATAAGATGAGGTCTTTTGATTTTCAAGAGTCAGATATTTCTAATATACTTAGATGACCTGAGGCAAAATTTCCTAGTGTCTAGAATAGTGTCTGGCACATAACTGGCATTCATTAAATGTTAACCAAATAACAGAATGACCGCATGAATAGCAGCAAAATAAGCTAAAATGAGTACAACTCATTTAAAGCTTTTGTTAATCAATTTCTTCCAATGAAATTGTGTCTATTCAAAGTTAATATGATCTTGATAAATAGTTCTGGCTACCACCTTGTTTCTTAAATAGGGATGGGAAGAGGAAGGAGTGTTAACTAGGAGTCAACTGCTAACTAGAGCTCAACTAGGAGTCTAGCTTAGCTTGCTGAGTTTTGTAGTCTTTGGTAAGTTTATCTTTTCCTCATTTATATAGGATATAAAATAGGTGGTATCTCAGACCCTTCCCAGTTTTGAAATGTTCATTCTAAATATCTTAGTTTTGGGCATTGTATCTCTAATCTCATTAAACTCTCAATTACCAAGAACAAAGTATACACACTATTCTTAGTGAAATCAGAAATACCTGTACTGCTTTCAAAGCAGGTTGTGCCTGTTAACTCATTCGCAATTTTGTGGTTTTCTGTTTCCCTCAGAACCATCATAAAAGTTGAAAACCAGTTTTCTTTCTGCACGATCCTTCTCAGTAGCTCTCTTGCAGCTGATTCATTTCCATGCATAGCTGCTGCAATAATCTGTTTTAATGAAACAAAGGAGAATTAAAGATCAAATATCTAGTAAATAAGTTAAAAAGGGAACTAGTCTTCTGAAATATTTAGCAATTAAGCATGCATGTAAATAAAAGTTTGTATTCAAACATTAAACAATACAACTTGTAGCAATTCCAGATTCTGGGGGTGGGGGCTGGGGAGGAGGATCTTAGGGTAAAACACTCTTTTAAATATGCTTGGTTTTTTGCCACTGAGCTATTTGAGCCTGATGCTTAAGAAATAAATGTTTTGTTTTGTTTAAAGATTTATTTATTTACTCATACAGAACTGGGGTACAGGCCAGAGATGCGGTGGGTGAGAGGATTCACCAGAGACAGAGTGGGGAGCAGAACAGGCAGATCAATGAAGTACACTGCTAAGGGGAGCAGTGGGCGGTCAGGAGAGGTCTGCCTTGCCATGTGAATCTCCTCCAGGGCAGGCGGGGATGGAACTCACGCGGAAGTAGTTTAAGCTTCTCAGTGCAGCGCTTTAACCTGCTGCACAACCAGGGAGGGCCCAAGAAATAAATGTTTTAACTCAGGCATTATGAATAAGGAGTGTCTTTAATTTCTAGCCACACTAAGCCTGTTCGTATCAGCTTCTTACCATGTATTAAGGGCTTGCTATTTCTTTTCAGTTCATTTCATATCTGACTCCTCATTCTTCCCCATTATCATGAAGTTATTTACTATTGTATATTTATGTACTTGCTTCTTTAATATTTGTACTCTCTATTTGTTATAATATCTTTCTTACCTTTATGTCTAGTTAATATCATATTTTGATATCTATTCCTGTCTTAAAGTTTAGGAAGAATTATTTCTATATCCATTTATTACAACCTTTAGCTTTAATTTTATTTCCCTTTACATCAATCAGCAAATCCCATTAAAAGTGTATCAAAAGAGTAGTCATTACTATCACAGTGACTTTCCCAGGTCTTAATACAGCACCAAACATTTGAAGAAGACAAATACAAACCACATTTAGCCCAGAAAGCAATTAGATAGGATAGCTATCTCTCTGGGCCTTAGTATCTATCCATGTAAAATGAGGGAACTAAAACACAATTTCAAGTTTTCTCCGTTTTAGTGGGAGGTCAGTATCCACTATGGAGCTTTGATATCTTGGATCTTCCCTCAAATGATTCTGATACATCTTACTTGGGAGACCAAAGACTTTAAAAATATTGCAGAATTTTATTCAGTAGTGTAGATGAGAAATTCCAAATTAGTTACTAGGGCCTCCCTGGTGCCACACAGGTTAATGTCTCAGAGCTATCAAGCTATCACCAGCTACTGTGGCCTGAGTTTGATCTTCAGACAGGGAGCTGACCCACATTGAACAGCAGACCTCTCCTGTCACCCCCCGCTGCTCCCCTCAGCAGCGTATTTCAGTACATCTGCCTGTTCTGCTCCCAACTCCCCACTCTTTATCTAGTGTATCCTCTTACCCCCCAGATCTCTGGCTTACACTCCAGTTCTTATATGCATAAATAAATACAAATAAACCTTTTTTAAAAGGGAATTCTGATTTAGTTATTTCTCAACATTCACTCATCTCAATATGAACAATATGTATAATTTGGATTGCTTAACTAGAGTGGATATTTCTTTAAAATGTATGTATTTTCTAGTTGTGTAAGTATATCCCACACATTTTAATGTCAGCAATGTACTTGCATATTTAAAGCAATATCTGGCACAAATTTATTACTATAAATGAAGCTATTCTATTATTATTATGGGTGGGAAAAAGCATTTACCAGTGGACACTATTTAGCACATAAATGTGCAGCCTGAATTTCTACCTGAAGGATACTTCAATTTTATTAGCTGAAAGATAATAAGATTATCAAGTCTTTGAATATATAAACTAGCAACCCAAGAAGGTGCCAATATTAACTCACTTTACAGAACAGGAATACAAGCACAGAAAGGCCCCATTATCTCTCAAAGTAAGGCCAATTAAGTGGGAGAAGTAGAATCTAGTCCCAGATACTGTGGCTTCAGAGGCCTTTCTAAACAATAATATAAGTAATTATCTCCAATTTTTATTTCATTTTCTGGCAAGAAGTGGTTGAAATGACTACTTGGACCTAGTAAATTTTAGGTGCTGTCCTTCCATCTCCCACAAGACATTTTCTAAGCAATTTTTTCCCTTATTTCCTTCTTTTTCCCCAACTGCATTAATACCCTAGTGAAAATACTTTGTCTTCTCAGGTATCTGTGATATCTTTATTATTATCTGCTAATTTGGACAATACTAGTTAAAGATATTATATAACACTGGTATCAGCATCTTCTTTGAAATACATTCTCATTTTTAATTACCTCATCCTTTAATCAACTTTTTAAAAAGTTGACAGAAGTATTCAGAAAGAATCTCTCTAAAAATAACGAGACAATGTAGTATATACTTTTATTGAAAATCTGAGTATATTAGATCTACTGAGTGTTCAACTATTAATTAGTTAATTTTTACTGTAGAATTTCTACTTGCGAAGCTTGTTTTGTATTTACTAAGTTCAGCACTTGAAGATCAGTATAAAATTATTTCCCACAAGTGTTTTTATAATTTGAATGTAGAATTTTATACAATACGTGTGCAATTTCTAAGTAGCTTCTTCAAGATTCTGAACTTTTAAGAAGTCGTCCCAATCTGTGGGCTAGAAAGTACATCAATTCCTTTTGAAGCAACTACATACATTTTTTTGTTTTTTGAAACTTGTGTCTTAAAACCTAGTAAAGATATTTCATCTCAATAGATATAAACACTCAATTAGTGAAGTTCTTGCAGGTGATTTATTAGACTTAAGACTGCGAAAGGCGTCATAATGATTCTCCTTCATGTTATTCTTGCACTATACATTTTCTCTGAATCTGAAGTGAAGTATGTTCATAGATACATTGTTAATAATTCGTGGAATAAAAAACAAATATGAATTTTTGAGTAGTAAAATTCAGTACTTTAATATCATAAAATATTTTATGCATGTTTTTCCTGCCAGCAGAAATCAGTGAAGAAATCAATGATATTTCCATTAAGGATTGGCTTGCCAACACAATTATGTAATTTGATAAAAATGTTTCTTCTCCTCATCATAACTTTAGATATAATGGTGGATAGTGAATACAGCAGAGCACAGCTCTCAGTACAGTAGTTTCCCTTCACCATGGAGGATAGTAGCAAGATCCTCAGTGGATTCCTAAAACCTCAGATAGTAGCGAAGCCCATATAAGCTGATAAAGTTTAATTTATAAGTTAGGCACAGTAAACGCCTAAAGATAACTAATAAAATAGAACAACTATAGCAATGTACTCTAATAAAATTTATGAGAATGTGGTTGGTCTCTCTATCTGGAGGACAAATACACCAATAAATCAGAAAGTTGTGTTAAAAATAAAGAATTTTAGGCCCTCCCTGGTGGCGCAGCGGGTTAAAGCACTGCACTAAGAAGCCAAAGCCACTTCCTCATGAGTTCGATCCCCGCCTGCTCCGGAGGTGACCACATGGCGAGGCAGACCTCTCCTGACCGGCCCGCTGCTCCCCTCAGCAGTGTACTTCGTTGATCTGCCTGTTCTGCTCCCCACTCTGTCTCTGGTGAAGCCTCTCACCGCCCCTGAGCCTCTGGCCTGTACCCCAGTTCTGTATGTACAAATAAATAAATCTTTAAAAAAATAAATAAAGAAAGAATTTTACAGAACAGGTTTCTTATGAAAATTTAATATTCTTGTCAAGTGAGTATATTTTGACAAATTGACATAACTATTTCTATTAGTGCTTTCTCTTACAATAAAATTCTTATCTACCCCATTATCTGAAACTATTGTGAGTGAGGACAGACAGGAAAAGTGGAACTGGAAGTGTTAAACCTCATGTAGGGGAAATTGGATATGGTTTCTAGCTGATATCTCTGGTTCTTTTATGTAAATGAAAGATGTATAGGAATTTCTAAGACTACAGGTGTTTAATGCATTGACCTGGCCAGGGCTGAATCAGGTACACTTCTTCAGCTGTTCAGATTGGTATTAAAACACAATAAAAATGTCCATATTATCATTTTCAGAGGAAATGGATATACCAATATGTCACTAAGCATCTTAAAACAGGAGGAGGTCAGAGCAGGGTACTATTAGGGATCATTCTACTAGAATGATTTATAAGGCAACTCCTGTATATTGTGGAATGTTTAGTGTTTACTTAATACCTCACATAAAATAGATTTGTTTAACTATTGGTTGGAAGAATGAAAGTTGATTAACTCTGCAATAGTAGCTCCATGAAAACAGTGGCAACATCTACAATAATCTCCACTATTTTCATCACTAACCTAGGGTTTGGTACAAAGGTGTCATTGGATAAATTTAAAATAAATGTCCATCCATCCATCAATCAAACATTCAATTAAGTACATTTCTTTGGGTAGTTGCTGGATGCAAAATTAACTTTGGGATTATATGCAGAAACTCTGATATATGTGGAGGCAGGGGTTGGGAGGTAGAAACTGCAAGGCTAAATTAAAATAACAGCACAGGGCCTTCCCTGGTGGCACAACGAGTTAAAGCGCAGCACTGAGCAGTCAGCTGAGCCACACAGGTTCAATCCACCACCCAGGAGGTGACCCACATGGCACAGCAGACCTCTACTGTCTCACCCGCTTCTCCCCTCAGCAGTGTGCTTCAACACTCTCCACTTTGACTCTGGTGAGTTGTCTCACCGCCCCTTGCACCTCTGGCCTATACCCCAGTTCTGTATGCATAAATAAACCTTAAAAAAAAAAAGCACAAATAGAAACTGCCTGTGGAAAACAGAAAAAGAGTAAAAGATTTCATTTCATTTTAGAAGTACTGATTACTCAGTAAAACACTAATTTAAACTGAAAGGCAATCCCTTATATCATCTGTTCTCATCTTTTATTCCAGACAATGTTTTCAAAATAAATTTAATCAACCTATCAATATATATATGAAGAACCAGCCTTCTCCCTCATCTTGGCTAGTTTATGAGATCTTAAAGTTGAAAGACATAGTGTCACACTTAAATCCAAGATCATTAACAGAGATCTCAAATTCAACATGGAAAGTTTACCAAATCCCTGAAACTTTAAATTCATAAGAAAATGGAAATAAAAGATAACAAAAATACATCATCATACAAAATATTTATTACTAATCAAGTTTTCATAAGCACTTGATCTTAGACATGTTAATTAAATACTGTGACTGTAAAGAGAAATTATTATGTACACTTTTCATGGGTAAACTTAGGATAACAAACTTAAATATCTTGGTCCCAAATTATTTAACATATAAAATGCATATATTGTAAGAAACATAGATCTCAAATCCAGGTCTTCTCATTCTAAATTCCCATTATATTGTGTTATTATAAGACAAACATCCTTATAGAACCCCATATTAACATAGATTTTTCTATAATAAATCTAGAGCTTCCTTTCTACTACTATAGCTTATTTTTTTAGACCAATAATTCATGTAAAATGATGTGTACAAAAAGTACTGCAGAAATCACAGAGACTTGATTCTTCTTCAGAGAGCCTCAAATATATGGCTCTCTATCTTTGGACCCTCCTGGGAAATATGAATCTGAGGGAGAGTGTGGGTTGCTTTGGCCTTAGTTGCTATCAGTACACAAATGTCCGTTTACTCTATATCTTCTGTGTGTCAAATGCCTTGCATCCTATACTGTTAACTGCCTCCACGCTTGCCAGAATCAAGAACTTGGATAAAATCTAACTGGCGGAAATTCAATCCAGGCAAGACAAAAGTGATGCTGATAGGCAGAAGTATTTAGAGTAAATAAGGAGAAGTGCTGTTTCGCTGGCAATCGGGACATCATACCCACCAAACATAAACAGCTTTGTGGTGTTACTGGACTCTGTTGCTTCTGGACTTCCTAACAGCTACTGTGGCTGGAAATGCCATCTTCCATCTCCAGCTGGCTTGAAGGCTGCATACTGTCTTCCAAATTAAGATTCTGCCACAGTGATGTACACATTTGTCATATCCAGCTGGACTACTATAATGCGTTCTAGCAGGTTCTCAATACACAAAACTACATAAACGTTACAGACAACAGTGTAAAGTAATTTACTTGTTGGGAAAACCAGTCATCAAAATGAGTTGCATGCTTGGGTCCTAGGACAGGCCTTATGGCTGCCAGATCTACAGCCAGGAACATTAACTTTAGTCACTAAAAACTAAGTCACATCACAGGCTGATGTGAGACCCATGCCCAGAAAAGCATAATGAGGGCACACACAATTGGTGAATCTAAAACAAAGAGAAAGAAAGAAAATGTCAAGGTTATAGCATGGTAGACAGTCTTTGGCTTTTAGTCATGGATGTATTTGCCAACATACCTTTGAAGATAAGATATTTGACATACAACCTTGAATAAATCATAATCAAATAGGTTAGTATTTTTATATATCAGTATGCTCTCAGTCACTGACAAACAAGGAACAATCAAATATTTCATTAAAGTGTGAAGTCCCTTATATTATTTTTCCTGTCAAAATGTCACATTATAAAGAATACTTTACTTATATAAAAACTTCAATGGCTTATCTCTAGCTTTTTTCTCCTAGAGAATGTCAAAATGCTGTTTAGAAGTGGGAAAAGGGTATGTGTGTGCATGCGTGTAGCCTCCATTTGGACTAAGATTAAATGGCACAATGTATAATAAAGGAGGCCAGATAATAAATATTTTATGTTTTGTGGGATATACTGGCTCTTTTCAACTGTCCCTAAAACATAAAAGAAGTCATAGTATGTAAATGAATAAGCGTGGCTGTGTTCCAATTAAACTTCCTTTATAAAGACTGAAAATTTAAAAATCTTAAAGCCATTGTTAATCTTCACATCTGTAAAACCAGTAGCAAACTGGAATTAGCCCATAGGTCATGGTTTGCTTTTCTTTGGTCTATGGAACTATTTTAGATGAGAAATAAAATTCAACACCGTCTGGACCTAAATCTCTAGCTCTGCAGTGGATTTGCTAGGTGATCTTAGGCAAGTTATTTATCTGGCCTCAGGCTCCCTATCCATCAAACTGAGTTAGTAACATTAAACACCTCAGTGGATTAATATGAGTATGAACTGTGATAATAGATATTGTAAATGATGATAGTAACTGTACATAGTAAGTGTTCAGTAAACCTTATCTATTAGTATATGTAGTCATTGTGGAGTTAACACCTGTTTAACTTATTCAGTGAAAATTTTCAAAATTATGTCACATGCCTAGATAGTCTCATTTTGAAGAAACGATTTACTCAAAGATGACTAAGAAAATCTGGAGGGAGGTAAATGAGTTAACAAAACAGAGTTGCAAAACCTGTCCAAAGACCAGCTCCATCAGAACAGACACCTACCCGATTTCTGTCTTCGTTTGTCAGCAGTGTCACCGCCACACACTTATCCAGGACATCGCTTACCAGAAGGTTTTGCACCACAGTAGGCTGAAGGAGGTTCAGCAGTTTTACACACTCATCATGAAAGGTCTCAAAGGATGGAGAGGGCAAGTCTGTGAGGTTAGGGTCCGTATAGAGCAGAGCCAAGGTGCTGCCAGATTGCTGGAGGGCCTCTAAAAATACCCTAGGCCAGCCTGGGCCCCAGTCCTTTTTCTCCAAGGTTGTCAGAAGCAGTTCAACTGCCGCTATGTCTCCACTGACCATGGCCTTACTTCGTATCTTCTCCTTGTCTTCTGGATCCAAAAAGTCCAGGTAGTCCAGAGTGGAGTGGAGCTTGATGCACATCTTTAATCTGGTCCTGAAGCATGAGATGAGGAAACGGAAAGTCTCTTCTGTGGAATACCCCTCTTTCGCCATCTTTCTTTCTCAGAGAAGGCAGGGGATTCTGCCAAAAAGAACCTCTTGCTGTTCTCTGCTCAACAGGTAACAGAGAGCGGCTGTCGGCGGCTTTCTGTTTGGTTAAAGTGCCAGGGCCTTGGATGAAGAGCAAGGCTGTGTTCAAGATCCTTAGGTTGGCTCACTGGCGTGAGATCTCACCTTGGCAGGTGGGCCGCCCGAGGAGGATGAGGGGCACAGACCCGGAATGCAGCGACTGAAGGCCAAAGGTTGCTGGCTCGACCCCAGCACTTTCTGTCGTCTGCGCTGCGACCAGGGACCCAGGCGCCCCCACATCAGCACACTCGGTAGGAACTTTGAGTTCAGCTTTTCGCCAGCCGGTTTTTATAGTTTGCCCGACTTAGTTTCAGTTTCGTTTCTCTTCTCAGAAACTTTCTAAGTAATCAGCTGGGAGGCTTGTCTGTTTGGCTGGGAGGCAGGAGGCGTCACCATATCAGTTTTCATAAGAGTCTTTCAGCCAGAGCACTGAGGAAAACAGAAAAGGAAAGTGAATTCTCTCTCCCACGAACGAACAAGACTGCATTGCTCCTGCAATACTTCTTCTGTGAGCATTGTGCCTTCCTTAGAAGTTTCTGCCTCAGAAATCACTTCCTTCCCACAGTCATCTTGCACCATCCTTGTCAGCTAAAATGTAGAGGCTTGAAAGCACAATACTGGGAACTTCCCTCCAGAGAAGTTAAGTATGAAACTTTCCAGACCCTGACACCTACAGGAAGGGGTTATTCGAGGTTAGTGAATGCAGACAGGCTCAGGCTCTCCCAGAGGGTAGACTGTAGGACTGGGGGGAGGGGTGGGGAGGAAGGGTGAGGGGAATTGCAGGGGACAAGTAGAATGCAGGGGACAAGCTAACCTTTTAGCTCTTTCCAGATATGTGACCTTGGATGACATTTGGTGACCTGGTATGTTTTAAACTGCTTAAGAGAAATACAGAGTCTCTGAATTTACACTGGCATACAACATTTCCATCTGAACACTTTCTAGCATATCTACTTTACCCAGGTTGAAGTGACCTTTGTGCCTTTTCCACAATCAACCTACTTCCTGTGGTTCCCCAAGAATGAACTTGTTCCTTTAGGGTATGTGGTGAGCATGAAAAGGAATGAGTAATAACAAACAGGAACTGACTTTAGGTAGTGTTTGCAGCATTTATTTGATTTTGACCAGGGCCTAGTGACAGAGGGAGAGGGACATTCACCACCAATTCAGTTTAGGAGGAAGCCAAGACTAAAGTTTCCCTCTCTCCCAGCATATAAGATCTCCACACCTTTTAATATATATCTTTCCTTTAATAAAACAACACAAAATCCCCAACAACTTATTTTTTATATAGTTGCCATTCTTTTCTTGGATTCAATACAGCAAGTTTTGGCTGAAGCAGCTAGGAACTTAATTAGCAACTAATGTACCAACTTGTAGTAAACATCAACATTTGTCTATGTCATAAGGGAAAAAAGCCACCCACACTGAAAAATGGCAGTTTCATTTTAGTACATAAGTCACATAAGTGTGAATCCTTTAGGTTGGTGCTAGCTGAAGCATTTTGCAGCCCCAGGTGACCTTGGGTAATACTACATATATGTCATAATAAGCACCTTATGATCCAGAATTATATGGAATATAGAAGGGTCATTTAGGTTACCAAGAAAATATAGTTAGAAAAAGTTATCTGTTAGCAAAGCACATTCAATGAAGCTTGGATGGTTCCAGAAAACCTGGCATAGTTTAGAATGGTTTAAGAGAAATACAAAATCTCTGTATTTACTGCTGGCATACACCATTTCCAACTGAACACTTTATAACATATTGTCTTATTTTCTAATTTTATTTCAAGTAGCCATGCCTTTTTCTTCACCAAGGGATGCTAAGCTTTTTGAAGAAAGGACATGTATATACAGTAACTAGTACATACAAACTCTACAAATAGTAGGCCCTTTCTTTGCCTAAACTTCACAGCTGGTTTAATGTCAAATACACAGTGAAAGTCGATTGCAAAATATTTTTCATTATTAATTATTGAAATGGAATGGAACCTTGACCTGATTTACAATGTTCTTTTTTTATTTCTTCATAAAACATCACTATACATATTTTTTGATCTTGTAACTAGGTAGAAGATAATCAAATTAGTTGTTCCTATAGAAATATTCAAATTGTTCATTTTAGTTATTGGATTTATAAAGATCTCTTTTGGGTCTATTACAAGAAAGTCTTTCCCTTTCACCCACTCTAGTGCCAGCAGATTTTGTTCAGCGTATTAAAGCAAAACCCAACAAATCAAACAACATTTTGTCCTCTTTTTCCCATTCTTCTCTCCTTTAGTTTCCAATACTGGAAACAAGAAAAGATTACTGATTAAACATGAGGAACTAGTGTCATATTCTTAACACCACATAAATGCTGTCCTGATGAGAAAGGGTCAAAAGTAGAAATTTAAATGTTTTATATTTGGATTATTTGACTTATTAAATGAATCATTTAAAAATATTTTAAGTACCTATTATATGACCAATGCAATTCTAGTTGCAGTTATTAAATTGCAGCGAAAATTTCCTATTTTCATGGCAAAGGGAAGATGCAATGTATAAGGTAGGATGAATATGGACTGTAAGAAAATTAGATGTAGCTAATAATGCCCATATAATTTCACTAGTGGATATTCTTCTAGATAGACTTTCCTGCCCCTGATACACCTTCCTGCATCACATAAGACCCATCAGTAACAGTTCATCTTTAATATCAACTATGATTCACCTTGCTGGACTAAGAGTGAGTGCTGAGGGCTGAGCATGGGCTAAGAGTGCCTGAGGGAAAGTAGAAAGGAACCAGTTTTATAGAAATCTTGGGAAGACACTGGAGGAAAGAAGGTTGAAAAAACAAAGACCAAGTCCCAGTCTCTCACAAATTGTCCTTTCTCTTCATCTATAATATTGCATGTTGACTTCGTTTATTTTTTGCATTTGTCTGAGTAAATATTTCTTCTGTCAAGTTCTTCTGATAACTTTCATTTTAACCTTCCTACTTTTTCTAACTACAGGTTTCTGTTTCTTCTCTTCTTTGAATAAGCAATCTGTTAATCTAGATCTTTTCCTTTTTCTAAACCAATATTTTCTGTTTAAAGCGAAAAGACCCTGAGTCTCCATCAGTTTTAAAATTCTCCTTTTAGCCTTTGGTCTACAAGTAGTAAATCAGGAAGACCTATGACAGCTTCTTGCTATTATCCACCTTTTTTCATTTGAGTTTTCTGCTATAAAGAGGTGATGTAGCAGGGTGGTCCCTAGGAAAAGGGGAAGTTCCAGGTTCCCTGCCCCACCCAGAAGAAGGGTGGAGCTGAGCAGAGAAAAAAGAGAAGAAAAGAAGGAAGCTGGATGGAGAACAAGGAGACCTGAGGAAGCCACACGGAGCAGCAAGCAGGTGAGGAAGAAACGGTGCTTGTTTCCTGACCCTGTAACATTTAAGGCAGATGTGGGTGAGAGACCTGTAGGGAGGTGACTATGGCAGTGTTTATATTTATTTTGCTTTTGCTTTTTTCCTCCCAGATTTGTCTGGCCATTTCTGACCCTTTTCCATGGGTCCCGGCCAGCAGGTGCTTTAGTCTTGTGGCAGGCTTTCAGGCCTTGCTTTGGACCAACCCCTTTTGGGTTGACTTTTGCCCAAGAGGGGATGGGTAACTTCAAGTGTTTGATTTAGAAGTTATATTTTCTGTTTTCCATATTGTATATTTACTGTATTAAAGTCCCTTTTCATTAAAGTTTTATATGTTTTGTCTTGACGCGGCAGATGGCAGAACCCACTTAGAGCAGGCAGGGTTGGGACTTCAGGGGTGTTCCTCTCTCCCTGTCCTGTAACAGATAACCCACAGACAGGCAACCCAATTCACATTGGGTGCCCTGTAACAGTGATACAATTCAAAGCTGTTCTTTGACTTGTTTTTGACAAACTAAAATCTATGATTTGTGAAAGTAATATCTTTTCCAAAAAAATTGACAGTGCATTTGCTTTAATGAGGAAATCCTTCTATAATGTTTATCCTGTTTCTGCCTTTAGTTATTAAGTTGCAACAATAAGCAGTCTACTCTGTGTAACTTCAAGTTAGACTCCCTTAACCTACCTGTGTGGAATTGTGGTCAAGCATAGAGACTCTGAGCACAGGTTATCAGAATTCCTTTGTCAGCACTGTCTCTTAATTGCTGTGTGATCTTCACCCCTCACTTGTGAAATGAGAATTATGCTAGTACCATGCCATAAGGTTGTCTGAAAGAGGACCTTTAACCTCTTTGAGCTTATCCTGTCCTTTAAGTAACTGCCAACATTCTTCCACTGATAACAAGTCAAAGATGGTGCTGGCTCTCAAAGAATACTTCCAATTTATTGAGGAAATATATTAATTATGTACATGAACAATACGTGACAAGTTGTCATGTAATTCAGTTTTTAGACAGAATTGATTTTTTGCAAGAAACAAACTGATGGGGGTGGTCAAAAATGTTCATTGAAATGATACTGTTATAACTTTCGATTTTCAAAACATAAGTAGATGTGAAATAGAAAAAGAAACTGGTAAGCTTATTAGATCATAATGCTCATTTCTTAATTAGCTAACTCAGCTGTGAAGTTCTGGGTTGAAGTGTACAGTGTAAAAGCTTTTATAAGTGTTGACAAAAAAAAACTAGATATCAGTGGAAAATTTTTCCAAATATCCATTTTTCCAAATGTTTCCTACACAGTTTACATTCTTTTAACAGCAGATATTTGCACATTTATGCATATTTTTGTTAAAACAGAACATTTACCTCAAGGCATACATTGCTGTGCTTTTGAAATTTTATTTTTAAATAATTGCTTAAGAGCAAACTAGACAACTGTAGTTAGAGTACCCTTGTTTTATCTTTAAATTCATATGGATGACATTTAGCTGGCAGACACTTTGAGGTCACATGTCTCAGCCTGTGATTGAAGGTGGATGTTCTAATTGCTTAATACACTATACAAGTTAATTTTTTTGTTTGTTTCACCTTTGCTTATATTATAATTGACAAAGTCTTGAAGTAGGAGCTACAGAATGAGTTATTGAAATCAAGTGAGATTAACTGCATCAATCTTTTGAGTTTTAAATCACAAAGGATTAAACTAAACTTTTTAGAAAAAAAATAAAGCATTACCAATTATGGACTATTTTATTATTAATGCACTGGATTATATCAGTGGCATTTAGTAATTTTTTTCATCTTTATCTGATCCCTTACTATTTAATTTTTGCTTGTATTTTGTTGTTGTATGCATAAACATATTCTAACTAAGCACATATGCTTTTATTTAGCATAGATGATTTCA